ACACACACAGTCACACAGACACACACACACCCTCACACACAAACACTCACTCTCATTCTCTCTCTCTCACACACACTCTCTCACAAACACACACACACAAACAAACACACACACTGTCTCTCACACAGAGAACACACACGTCACTCACACAGACAACACACACATACTCTCACACAGACAGACAGATACACACTCTCATACAGACAGACACATACACATTCGCTCTCCCTCTCTCTATCTCTCTCTCTCACACACACACAAACAAAACACAAAACACAAACACACTCTCTCACACAGACAACACACACACTCTCTCTCATACAGTTAACACAGACAGTCTGTCACACAGGCAACACAGTCTCTTACACAGACACACACACAGACACACACACTCTGTCACACATAGACAACAAACACATACTCTCTCTCTCACACAGACAACACACACACTCTCTCACACAGACGCAGACACACACACTCTCTCACACATACGCACACACTCTCTCATAGACACACACACAGACATACACACACTGTCACACAGACATCACACACTGTCTCTCTCTCACAGAAACACACTCTCTCTCATACAATTTAGACACACAGTCTCTCACACAAACACAATCACTCTCTCGCACAGACATACTCACTCTCACACAAACACACACACACAGAAACACACACTCTCACACTGACACACATTCACTCTCACACTGACACACATTCACTCTCACACTGACACACACACAAACACACGCTCTCTCACACAGACACACACACTCTGACAGATACACTCTCACACAGACACATACACACTCACACTCACACTCTCACACAGACACACACACAAACACACACACAAACACCGTCTCACACAGACACACAAACACACACACCGTCTCACATAGACACACACAGAAACACACACACCGTCTCACACAGAAAAACATGCCCAAATACACACACACTCACACACACAAATACACATACACACAAACCCACACACTCTCTCACACATACAACCACACAAACACACACATACTGTCGCTCACTGACACACACACACAAACACTCACTCTCATTCTCTCTCACACACACACAAACAAACACATACACACACACACACACACACACACACACACACACACACACACACAGACAACACACTCTCTCTCACACAGAGAACACACACAGTCACCCACACAGACAATACACACATACTCTCACACAGACAGACGCATACACATTCCCGCTCCCTCTCTCTCTCACACAGACACACACACACACTCTGTCACACACAAACAAACACACACATACATACACTGTCTCTTACACAAACAACACACACACTAAATAAAGGAATTAAGGGATACGGTGAGAACGCGGGTAAGTGGATCTGAGTCCACGAAAGGATCAGCCATGATCTTATTGAATGGCAGAGCAGGCTCGAAGGGCCAGACGGCCTACTCCTGCTCCTAGTTTTTATGTTCTTATGTTCACTCTATCTCATACAGTTAAGACTCAGTCTCTCACACAGACACAGATATACATACACATACACACTCTCAATCTCACACACACAAACACACACACACGTTCTCTCACAAACACACACACACATACAGATAACACACTCTCTCTCACAGAGAACACACACAGTCACACAAGCACACTCTCACACAGATTGTGTGTGTCTATCTCATACAAACAGACACATACACACTCCCTCTCCCTTTCTCTCTCTCACACACACATACTCACACAAACAACACACTCACACTCTCTCTCACAGACCACACACACACACACACTCTCACACAGACAGACATACTCTCTCTCTCACACACACACACTGCACCACACAGACAAGTACATACACACTCTCTCACACAAACACACACACTCTCTCTCATACAAATAAGACACACAGTCTCTCACAGACACACACACACAATCACTCTTTCACGCATACATACTCACTGTCTCTCTCACGCATACACACTCTCTCACACAGACACACACACACACACACACACACACACAATCTGTCTCATAGACACACTCTCTTACACAGACACACTCACAAACACACCCACTCTCTCTCTCACACACACACACACACAACACACACTCTCTCTCACACAGAGAACACACAGTCACTCACACAGACAACACATACACACTCTCACACAGACAGACATATACACTCTGACACAGACAGACACGTACACATTCCTGCTCCCTCTCTCTCTCTCACACACACACACTTGCTCACACAGACAGAAACACTCTCTCTCTCACACACACACTCTGTCATACACAAGCAACAAACACATACACTCTCTCAAACAAACAACACACACTCTATCTCATACAGTTAAGACACAAAGTCTCTCACAAAGACACAGATACACACACACTCTCACACAGACACACTCACTTTCACGCGCACACAGACACACACACTCCCGCTCTCTCACACACACAAACACACCCACTCTATCACACAGACACACACACACACTCTTTCACACAGACACACCCACAAACACACCCACTCTCTCACACAGACATACCCACAAACACACACACACACTCACACATCACACACAGAAACACATGCACACTCTCTCCCTCTCACACACACACAAACACATATACACAAAAACAGACACTCTCACACACAACCACACAAACACACATACTCTCTCTCTCACACACACACACAAACATACACACATTCTCTCACAAATGCACACACACACTCCCTCGCTCTCACAGTCACACACACTCCCTGACTCTCACACACACACACTCTCCCTCACTGCCTCTCACACACACACGCTCCCTCGCTCTCACACACACACACACACGCTCCCTCGCTCTCACACACACACACACGCTCCCTCGCTCTCACACACACACACACGC